ATAATGGAATAGTGAATTTTGTGCTACATTAGACTGCTGCATGCTTTCATACAGCATTGCTTGTTTTTCTTGTGTGATTTAAAAACCCAAACCAACTCTTCTAATTAAGCTCTCCCTGGCCAGGAGCTCACTTGGATCCCTGACAGTCCCTAGTTAAAGCCTAGTTTGTAGTTTTTGACAGCAAACTAAGACCCTCTTGTTTGCTTCAGGAAAACTGGCTGGTTTTAGTTCCTGGTATTATTTTGGTGGTACCCTCATTCCAACAAGTCACCAATCCGCTTGACCATGATTTACAACTGTGCCAGATTTTTCTTGGTTGCTTTTTGTTTGAGACAGATAGTAGCAGTAGTGATAAAGTTACTTTTAGCTTGGTTTTAATTTCTGACAAATTATTTTGGAAGCAGGAATAAGGTGGTATATTAGGATGATAAATTAAGGGTAAAAGCAACTAAATCAGATTACTTGAATGACTATATGTGTTTAGGGAATATATTTTAATTCTTCCATTTATTGCTTCTTAATTAGTCCATAACTCAGAAGGTTAAAAATACCAAAGACAGGTGACATTTTATAAAAGAAATCTTTCAACTGTGCTTTTTCTGATAGTGCTGCTCGATGTGAATAGTATTCAGTAATTTTAAAAATAATTTTATTTATCTTTGTTAACATGCTTCGTTATAGGAAAAGAGACTGAGTCAGAAACCTTCAGTACTTTCATTGTTAAATCCACCTCATCGCCTTTTATGTGACTTCTTACCAGAAAAGAAATGGCCTAGGAATTTCCACCTGCCTGAGTTGACATTTGTAAGAAGTCTTACAGCACTTTCAGTTCACAAATATATTACCCCAAGTAATAAGTTTTTATAAGGAGCCCAAAACTAAGCTCGAAGGGAAATGACAAACCTTGCCAAAAAAGTGGAAATATCCTTTCTTTCCCCTCTGTGGTCTAGTGGTGTCACTTAACTATAACTCCTCAGTCAGTGACCTTCAGAAACCTAGAGGGCTAAACAGAAGTAGCGCGTTGAAGGTCATCCCCTCCACAGATACCCAAAAAGGGGAACACATATTCATTATAACAGGTAAGTGTTTTGATAATTATGGCAGATGGTGATTGAAGCAAAGGCAATTCAAAAGGGGAGACACGCAAAAGCAATAATTTTGAACGTTTGACATTTGTTTTGAAACTACCTTACTACCCTACACCCTTTACCATCTGTCTGTTATCCCGCCCAACACCCACCGCTGTCTTCCCACAGGGTTCCATTGTCTGCAGTTCCTGTTTCTCAGGGGCGGAGCTGTGGGAGGCAGCCATGGGTGCCATAATAGGCACCTGCGGCCAGCACAATGGGCTGTGGGTGCTTGTGGGAGAGACAGATTGATGTATTGTGCATGGGGGAGGAGGGCTGTCACTTGAATCCATGTGAACCCAGGCTTTAGGGGCAAGGGAGATTGACAGCTTTTGTAGGTTGCATTTCTTTTTCAAAGCTTGGCTTTAATAGACAGTAAGTTTGGGGCCCCAGGCTTTCACTCCCATAATTCTAACAGGGCAATCACGAGCATTCAGCATTTCTTTTTACCCCCCTTGTTACGCATTAAATGATTTCAGTAAAGGAATGTGCAGCATTAATTAGAATTTGTTAGCAGATACCAAGGGGAAAAGTTTCTTCACAACAACTATAGGAGGTGTCATTTGTACAAAGACTTTTTTGTTTTCTTTCCCCATTACATTATCACTGCAATATGTAAGGTAGTGATTCTTTTCATTTAAATTAAGTGGAAAGCTACTAAATCTTGTTTTATTCTCCAAAAAGAATAAGGTCCTTAACACTTATCTTTTAACTTCTTTCATTTCCTAAGGTTGGTGTTTACTTTTGCTTTCAGTCCGACCCATTTACTGATCTGTGTGGTTGTGTATCCAGTTTTGTGTACCATTTAGCTCTTACAATTACAGGCAACCCACTACTGATATATAAGGATTGTTTCAGGTGAAAATAGCTACCAGTAATATTGAAGGTCATTGACACACTGGGTCCCTTTTTAGTAATGGTACATTGAGAACTGCCAAAAATTAGGTTTGTGTCCTAACATTTCCTAAAACCAATTTTCCCTAGTTGATATTTAACCTTAGCCACGACATCAAAATTATGGAAGAATGGGGCAGCAGCCAAGGAATATTTTTCCTATAGAAAACTCACTCCTAAACCATGTCAGTATTTTAAACATCAAAAGTACCTCCACCCCAAGCACACACAGATAACATCACTTCCTTACAGCTAGTTTAAATGATCTTGGGTTTTTTGGTTTGATTTCCATTTTTTCTATTCTTTTCTTAAAAATTCTGGCATTTTAGACTTATATAGGGACAAAACTAACCCCAAATAGGATTCTTGTAAACATGCTCTTTGGAATCTGAGGAACTGATAAAACATTAAAAAAATTTTGGTGTGATTTTTCTGAATTATCTCTCATATAAAATCATTTTCACTATGGAAGGAGTTGGAGGCTAATTGAATTAGAATTTTTCCCATTCAATTGTTTTATTTAAATGTGTTAAGGGCAACAGTGAAAAATATTGATTAAGTCTACCATTATTTCTCAGAAAGAACATATTCCCACACAGTAGTCTGGCTCTGTCTATTATAATAATTTGGTGCAATGGTTTAAAAAGTAGTGGGGTGATAATAATTAGGGCGTGCGACACAGAAATTTCAATGCTGGATTCAACATTTCACCATGCAGGGCAGGAAAATTGCCGACCGGGGCTAGTCAGCTCTAAGTACTAATTAACTAATTAATCAGGTGCTGAAACCAACTGAATGGAGGATACCAGCCAGACAACTCAAACCCAAGCAGAGGGTTGTGCTCTTTCAAAGACACTGCAGTCTTTCTTCTTGCTTTTTAACCCAATCAAAAATGAGGGGAGAAAATAGGATATGCTGACCTACTGTCGGTCATTTCGGTCCAAGTTTTTTTACTTAGAGAAAATAAAAACATGTGCCTCTGATAATAACTCTGAAGCACCATATTCAGGGTACTCCTAAAGCTCTGGCAAAGGGCTATCTCCTTGGCCATGAACTATTTCAGGGCTAGTATATGTGGGTGTGGAGCGGGGAGGAGGCTCTGCCTTCTTGGAGTTTTCTTTTACAATATTTTCTTAACATAGGAGAATGAGAAATGTATTTCTCCTTTTCTCAGGTCTTTTGCCTCATCCCTCGTTTATGTAAATGAGAAGAGTCCAATTACACATATGGAAAAAGGGTTTAATGAATCGTGAAAAAGCCCGGTTTGCAGAGAAAGGGCACAATCCTCTCGTCTTCTTCTCTTTTATATTAAACTTAGAAACATGTATTTCTTTTAAAGAAGATGATAAAGCTTAATGGTTATATCATTTTATTTTATATACTAATCTTCATACTTGGGAATTATTAAGCATATTTTGCTAGAATTATCTTTGGAAGGCTTTCTGGAGACAGCAGATATTCTACAAGAACAATTGCAAAACTCTTTTTTCCCTAAATTAAAAAAAAAAGTATTACATTAGTTCCTTCCATTTTTGGCGTTATTCTTAGCTCATGATAATTTTTTTTTTAAAGCATAGTTTGATCTGGAATTGTCTGCACTTAAAAAAGGACTGCATCATTATAAGCGGTTGTTACCGAACCCAAGGAAAAAACTTCAGTATCGCATACCATTTTAGCTCAATTTGGGTATTATTATGGTGTTTTAAGTAGCTAGAATTTTTGGAGTGTTGTAAATTAGATAAACTCTCCCCCCCCACAAACCACCTCCTTAAAGGTACTAAATTTTACACTAGAGCATAAAATCCCGCGTTTGGGATTTCATTTGCCTGTTTTCTTTCCTCTCACTTCTTCATCCTGGAATTGTCAGTAGTTGAATGTAGACCACACAGAAAACGCCTCAACCGATTTTTTTAAATGACAAAAAAAACCTTGAAAGGATATGGGGGGGGGGTAGTGAATCAATGCCATTTCTGACTGTAACTCTCAGAATTTGGTAAGTACGCAACCAGCCTGGAAGAGGTGATTTACAGGGCCAGCAGTAAAGTTCTAAATCACGACTGCAGGTGTTTTCCAGAGACCAAATCCAACAGCCTGGTTGGGCACTTGGGGAAACTGAGGCTGGAAAAGCCGGGAGGGGCGGGCCGGCGAATGCCTGAACTGATTCCCCCCCCCTTCATAAAATGACTGCTTCGATCCATGGAAAACACTTCTCCTGGGCACCTCCTGTGTGGAGGGCACTGCCGGGATGCCGACTTCGCGAGGGCCGTGCTCTTTCCACTCTAACCCCCGGCCTTCCCGGATCGGCGCCCTGGATGTGATCGACACCATGAAGTTGCCCCATAATCCTCTCTGGCAACATAGGATGTAAAATTTGATCAGCTCATTGGATGAAGCCGACAAGTCTCAAAAATGTGTGAAAAGGGGGCCAAGCAGTAGGCAAGCGCCGCGTTGAGGCAGCGCTCCAGCCGGCCCCCCTCCGAGTTCCCGGTGCTGCAGCCGCGGCGGAGCGGGGGCTGGGACCGGGCTGCGGGGCCGCGGCGGCGGCGGCGGGGAGGCCGCGGCGCCCTGGGTAGGGGGTTGGGGGCGTAGGAGCGCACCGCGGGGCCGGAAGGGGGCAGCGAGGCGGCGCCGGCGGCTGCGGAGTTATCTCCACGCCGTAGTGGGGACCCGGCCGGGCGGGGCGGGGCGGGGCGTGCACCGGGGCCGCGGGCGGCGCGCCGGAACCGTTGGCCTCAGGGCCCCGCCGCCCGCGCTCCCTCCCGCCGGCGCACGCGGAGGAGGCGGTGGCGGTGTTCGCGGTGGCTGAGGAGGAGGCGGTGGCCGTGGCGGTGGTGGCGGCGGCGGCAGCAGCGGCGGCGGCGGCGGCGGCGGCGGCCGCAGAAGGAGGAGGGGAGCTCGGAGCAGGAGGTGAGGTGGAGAAGCCAGAGGAGGCGGAGAAGGAGGTGGAGGTGGAGGAGAGGAGCGGCCAGAAGGAGGAGGATGGAGGAGCAGCCGAAGGAGGGCGAGGCCGAGGCCGAGGTCGCGGAGCACTGGTTCTCTAAGTGGGAGCGCCAGTGCCTGGCTGAGGTGGAGCAGGAAGAGGACCTGCCCCCGGATCTGCAGGAGGAGGCGGCCCCCGAGACGGCGGGGCTCAAGAGCGAGCAGCAGAAGCTGTGGCACCTCTTCCAGACCTCAGCCACCGCCGTGGCCCAGCTCTACAAGGATGCGGGGTGCCAACAGCCAGGACTCTCCATGTGGGACCCCTTCCAGAATGCAGCCATGGCCGTGACCAGCCTCTACAAAGAGAGTGGGCATGCCCACCAACGAAGTTTTGACCTGGGCATCCAGGTGGGCCACCAGCGTCGCATCAAAGATGTGCTGGAATGGGTGAAGAAGGGCCGGAGCATCATCCTCCGCGAAGATCTGATCAGTTTCCTGTGTGGCAAGGTGCCTCCCGCGCCCCCGCCACCGCCTCGCACCCCGAGGATGCCCGCGAAGCCGGCCTCCGAGGCCCCCAGCCAGGCCGCCGCCACCGAATCGGGCTCGTCGGTGGACGTCGACCTGCAGCCGTTCCACGAGGCCATCGCCCTTCATGGCCTCAGCGGCGCCATGGCCAGCATTAGCGTGCAATCCGGTGCGCCCGGCTCCCCGCCTCAAGCCAGCGAGGTCACCGGCGGTGGCTGCCGAAGAAGTAGCTTCCTCGAGGATGACTTGAGCCCGATCGACTGTGAAGAACTGGCCCTCTGCCTGGACAGTGGGGGGTCCCGCAAGCGCACCTCGGCCGAGTGTGGTGATGGCGACACGGACTCCCCAACCCACAAGCGCAACCGAATGGCCTAAACAGGTCTGAACTGCCTCGTGGGTCGCCAGCTGCCGTTTTGCCGGGCCATCAACTTGCTCGTCTAAAGGGTCCTCCAGGCGATCTCTTCTCTAAGTTAAACAAAGATTTCTATCAGTTTGCCACAAAAAACCCCAAAAAAACCAAAAAAAAAAAAAAACTTTAAAAGTATTCCAGAAGAGGCTTCCTATGACTCTGACTTTCCCAAAATTATAATACTAGCAGAGTACAAGTACCATGTAGTAGTTAGCAAGACCATTTAATGCAGAAGTATCCGGTCAAGCGGGAGCCTGGTTTATCTTGTTCACAGTTATTCCGTAGCATCTAGCACAGTTGCTGGTGCTTAATAAATGTTTGTTGAATGAATAAATGTGACTTTATTTAAAAGTCTTAGAAGGACTAACAGGTGTTTGCTTGGGTATGGGATGGTCTTATCCTTTATTGTTTGGTTGTTTGCTTTAATCGTTTTTGTTTTTTTTTCTTCTAGTTCAGTTACCTTTTATCAGAATGCAAAACTTGACATCTTTGTGAAATCTGGAACATTCCGTTTGGGCTTCACTTACCATGAACCTGTTTCTAGATAGAAACTGTGCAAGGTGTACCTATGAGGCTGTGAGTTTTCTTTCTTAAAATAGTCATTTTGGTGATTATGTGATGAGGTAAAGTGCTATGATGGTTGGACAGGTAATAAGTTGCTAATTGAGTCAATTTAACGCTCTTTTTGGGAAAGTTAAGCCAACGATCATGAGCCCGAGGTCAAAGATGGCATTCCTGGTGGCTTGGTGGTATTCCTTTTTCTTAGGGATGGAAAATGTCCCTTTTTCTGAAGTTAAATCTTTTTGGTGATCTCTGTTTTGAAGTGGAAGACAAAGTAGAATGAGTTTCTGGGTTTTATTTAAGGGTATGTGTGTGTGTGCTAAGTCACTTCAGTGGTGTCCAACTCTGTGCCACGCTATGAACTATAACCCACCAGGCTTCTCTGTCTATGGGATTCTCCAGGCAAGAATACTGGATTGAGTTGCCATGCTCTCCTCCAGGAGATCTTCCTGACCCAGGGATAGAACCTGCATCTCCTGCATTGCAGGCAGATTCTTTACTGCTAAGTCACCGGGGAAGCCCGATTTAAGGTTATATTGTTGTTGTTTGGTCGCTAAGTCATGTCTGACCCTTTGTGACTCCATGGCCTGCCAGACTCCTCTGGGAGCCTATCCATGGGATTTCCCAGGTAAGAATACTGGAGTGGGTAGCCATTTCCTTTTCCAGGAGATCTATTTGAGCCAAGGATTGAACCCAGGTCTCCTTTATGTCAGGTAGATTCTTCTCCACTGAGCTACCAGGGAAGCCCCATTTAAGGGTATAGCATGATCTAATTAAAAGAGCATGCACTTTGTGTCAAAAATACCAACAGTAGAATGGTAGTCCCACAGATACACTGTGTGATATTGGGCAAATCATTTAATGTCTTTTGGCCTCAGTTTTTCATCTGTAAAAGGGAACTATGTGTCTCCTAAAGTCATTGTGACTGTAAGATAAAGCCCATATTTCAAGTATCTAGCACAATGCTTGGTACCTAAAGCATTATAATGTTCTCCCTTCTCTATAAATACAAATTGGTAAAACGTTAAAATCCACTATATTTTGGAAAAGGCAAAAAAAAAATAGATTGGTTTAGAAATCAGGAAAAAACAGAATCTCTGTGTTTGAGATGGAAACTACTGTTTCATAGTTAAAATGTGCCTAACTATCCCAGATCTTGTATTAATTATAAGTGTGTTTAACTCATGAGTACTCAGGGTCATCACTCTGGATGTTAGGGCTGGCTTGTAGTTCCTAAAATTGCCTGAGAGATGCACCTTACAATGGGTACAGTGGTCAGAGATCTACTTCCTCTGGCCTGGAAGACTATGAGAAGGTGGGTGAAGATGGAAAGGATTTGAAAGTGAAAGTCCTAGTGATACATAAAAGGCCAAAGTGGTTCTGAATAAGGATGAGGTGGAGTAGAGGTGATGAAAGGGTAGACTGGGTGGGATGGGGGTGGAGTGAGGTTATGGAAGGGGTGGGGGAAAGTTAAAATGTCCAAATCTTCCCCAGGCTCTCCCCAAACCGGTGCACAAAATAGTATATATAGGTGTGTAATACCTTGCCTTTAGGTTCATATCAAAGTTTTTGTTTCATTAGTGTGGCCTTTGAAATGGATTTATAATTGACTAGTGCATTGAAATAATACAACAAAATAAAGTGAATTCCCTAGTAGAATTAAAAACTTGCTATTCCAACTAATAAAAATAAATGAAAAAAAAATAAAATAACAGTTTGGATGTACAACATGAGATATTTAGATCAAAAATGAAAATTAACTTTCTGAAAGGGCAGCTGATAAACTTTAGAAAGGGTCCATAAGAAAAGTTATGGAATTTCCTTTTAAGGAGGAATTCTTTAATAAAATGTATTCCATTCTGCTGTGGAAAAAAAAAAACCTTGCTATTGAGGCACTTTGCAAATACAGACTGAGGCACCATGCTAGGCCCTGAGAAGGGATGTTTAAAAAACATAAAAAATATCCTGATCCTCAAAAAGTACATCTTGGCTTGGAAGATGATATAGTCCAGTGTGCTAAGTCACTTCAGTCATGTCTGACTCTGCAACCCTATGGACTGTAGCCTGCCACTCTGTCCATGGGATTCTCCAGGCAAGAATACTGGAGTGGGTTGTCACGCCCTCCTCTAGGGGATCTTCCCGACCCAGTGTTGGAACCCACGTCTCTTACATCTCCTGCATTGGCAGGTGGGTTCTTTATCACTAGTGCCACCTGGGAAGCCAAAATACAGTCCAGAAAGCATTTCTAACTGTATGCAAAGCACCAAAGGGCTGTGCAGAAAAACAGAGGCCTTCCTTGCCCAGAGGGTCACAGCTTGTGGAGGAGGTGGCATTTGAACAGGTGCCCAGAACAACAGGTAGGAAGGGAGGGCCCAGACAATCCTAGCAGCGGAAGAATATAACAAAGTTTGGGAAGTAGAAAAACAGCAAACTGGGTTCAGGGGATCATAGGTGCTAGGTATATAGAGGCAGGGGAAGTAGGGGCCAAAGTGCAGAGGGTCTCAAATGCCTGGCCCAGTGCTTTAGGTTCTGTCCTAAACAGGGTGATACCACTCAGTCTGTGTTTTAGGAAGATTGGTCTGGCAGTGAGACACTGGAGCTGGTGGTAACCAGCCTATTCCCGTGGGATGCTCTTTCCTGCGGAAATTGCCATTTGGTTAACCAGGATTGTGGAGATGTTTGACTTGACAGGGCTTTCTCTGGGAAGGCTTTGCTCACTTAGAACCTCCCACACTTCAAACCATAGCAGGTAGGAGGCACCTTCTGTGTGTGTTCTGCCCTGCTTCTAGGCTGAGAAAGCCTTCAGTTCCAGCTGCAGAATCTCTTGATGGGCTAGTCTTAAAGAAACAAAACAGCCCTGCCTTTTATCATTCTTCTGCTTCTTGTGTTGGAGAGCCCTCCTGCAGGAAATCACTGGGGCATTTGGGGCTACAAGGCTGGCTGCGCCGCCACAGCAGAGAGTTGTAAGAGGGCATGTCAGAACGAGGGCGGGGACCTCGTTTGTCTTGTTTCCTTCTGTAACCTCCAGAGCCTAACAGTGCCTGATCCATGGGCACACAATAAATATTCATTTAATTGGTGGATGAGTAAGCCCTCATCCAGACCCAGTTAGAGCTATTCTGCTCTCTCTGTGTATCTACTGCCCAGGAAAGGCACCTGAAGCCCATGCTCTAATTTCTAGATGATTCTCCCTTGCAGCCTTTTCCTGACTATTTCATTCAGCATTTTGCAAAGTGTGGTCAGTTCCATGACCACCTCCCTTGAGAATCCACTGAGTTGCTTCTGAAGCTGGCCGCTTCAGAAGACCCCTCCAGGTGAATTACAGTCTCAGTGGGAGGGTCCCGGAAGTGACCTCCTTTAGGAGGAGGTGTTGGTGGTCATGGTGCACAGTGAAGTCTGAAACTCCAGTGACCCCACTATGAGATTCGTGATTGATTCAAGGGGCTCATTTTAAGTTATCATTGCTGGTGAACCTTGTGTGCCAGCTTAAAGTGAATCTCCTCATTTGTACATATTATCTTCATCATGACTTTGCATATTGCACACATTTTTCTTCTAGGAGCACAGTTGAGAAGACGGAGGAAAAATGTTATTAACTGATGTTTCTTGATTTGGTCCTTTCATAGGAGACTGAGAGAAGGCTCTGATTTCCTAACCTCTAGCTGAGTATTTTATTCATTAGACCGCTGCTCCCTAATCAAAATTATAAATAGGAAACATTGCACTTAGATCACTTTGCCTTTTGTGAACTGATGATGGAGTAGAGGTCAGGGGAGGATTTGTTGTTAGTTAATCAGGAGGTTTACCGACCTCTTCCAATAGTATATGCATACTTTCTTTTCTCTGTTGTGTTTGTTTGGGGGAAGCTGTTGGAGTTATGCATTCAGGGAATATAAGTCACCCCTTGCCACTACCACTGCACTCTAGCCACCAGCCAACCTGGACCACTTAAAGGTTCCTAAACTTTTTGTCATCTCTGGACTCTGGAATTCTTCCCAAATTTAGATCAAGAGGGACCTTAAAGATCATCTCGGGCAGGGTTAACTATTCAGTTTGCAAATGGGACAACTGACCTCACCAGGGAGGGCTACAGTGACTTACTGGTAAGACTGCTACCCCCTAGCTGGTTCCAGTCCGTTGCTTGCTTCACTGGACCTTCCTCAGTTATATTGTGTTTGGCCTTTTAATTAATATGTTGATGAACAAGTGGAACTAGGAAACTTGTACTGTTGTGAAGTCTCTCTGGCCTGGCAAGCATACTCTCTTTTCTCTGTTGTGTTTGCTTGGGGGAAGCTGTTGGAGTTATGCATTCAGGGAATATAAGTCACCCCTTGCCACTACCACTGCACTCTAGCCACCAGCCAACCTGGACCACTTAAAGTTTCCTAAACTTTTTATCATCTCT